AGAATGGTGGTAGAGTTCTCTTAGTCAGGCTAACGGAAGTGTTAGCCAGTATATGGGAATCAAATACGATCCCCTCCGACTGGTCTAAGTCACTGATCATCCCAGTCTTCAAGAAAGGCGAGAAGTCCTCTTGTGATAACCACAGAGGAATCAGCCTGACAAACATAGTGTCTAAGATCCTAAGTTCTATAATTCTCCGACGCCTGAGTGGAGCTCGGGAACAGCAAGCCCGAGAAAACCAGGCAGGCTTTAGACCTGGCCGTGGATGTATCGACCAAATATTCACACTGCGCCAGGTCCTGGAACATAGGCATGCTTACAGACGCCCGACAATAGCTGTATTTCTCGACCTGAAGGCGGCATTTGACTCCGTTGATCGAGAAGTCTTATGGCAGTGTCTGTCACTGAAAGGCGTGCCTAGTAAGTACATCACCTTATTGAAAGCTCTCTACTCGAACACTTGTGGGCATGTTAGAGCCTATGGTGAGTTGTCCAGGGAGCTATACTCATCAAGTGGTGTCCGTCAAGGATGCCCACTATCCCCATTCTTATTTAATTTTATCATAGATATTCTTATGGAGGTTTCCCTCTCGTCACCTAATTACAAAGACGTTGACCGGACCACAGGTGAATTTTCCTTAGATCTAGAATATGCAGATGACATAGTCCTGTTAGGTGAAGACGCTGACAAGATGCAGAGTCTTCTGAACACTTTGAGTGGGAATTTGAGAATGTTTGGGATGCGATTTTCACCACCCAAATGCAAATTTTTGCTCCAGGACTGGTCTTCAGCGGTACCGCGGTTAACAATAGAGAGTGAAGTGGTTGAGTGTGTTGACCACTTCACTTACCTGGGAAGTAGGATCAACTCCGGTGGGTTAGTTGCCGATGAGATTTCTGCACGGATACAAAAGGCTCGATTGGCTTTTGCCAATTTGCGCCACCTATGGCGCCGCCGTGATATTCGTTTGTCTATTAAGGGTCGCGTGTACTGCACAGCAGTCCGCTCTGTTCTACTGTATGGCTGTGAAACATGGCCATTGAAAGTGGAAGACATGAGAAGGTTACAGGTATTTGACCACCGTTGCCTTCGTAGTATAGGACGTATTCCGTGGTGTCACCATGTGAGTAATGCAGAAGTTAGGTGTAGAGTTTTAGGGAGAAGAGGTAAGTCAGTCGACGAGGTTGTGAACCTTCATCGACTGAGATGGTTGGGACACGTACTACGTATGCCTAGTCACCGATTGCCTCGTCACACAATGTTGGCTGAGGTGGGTTCAGGCTGGAAAAAGGCCCGAGGTGGCCAGACTAAAACATGGCACCAATGTATGAAGTCTCTGACTGTTGGTTTAAGCCATGTAGGACGATGCAGACTAGGTGGTTGGGGTCCACGGGACAAGAGGAACCAGTGGTTGGAGACCCTAGGTGATATGGCTCAGAACCGAAGTCAGTGGCGCAGATGTATACACACATTATCCTCATCTTAACAACGCTATACCGAATCTCACTATTTTGTCACTCCTCTTTCCTTTCTTCTCATACTTTATATTTCTTTTGACTGCATTCACTTATCTTCATCCTTCACCTCACTACCTTTTTACTTGATGTGCTGATATGAGGTGTGGCAACTCGGACCGTTACGCAGTAATGCCTGGTCCTATGTTGATAATGATGATGATGATGACTCTATGGCTGTGAAACGTGGGCATTAAAGGTAGAAGACATGAGAAGGCTTCAAGTGTTTAGCCACCGTTGCCTTCATAACACAGGCTGTGTTTCGTGGTTTCACCACATGAGTAACGCAGAAGTGAGGTATAGAGTTTTATGGCGAAGAGGTAAGATGGTCGATGCTGTTGTGAACCTTCATTGACTAGGATGGCTGGTTGGGATATGTGTTACGCGTGGCCAGCCACCATCTGCCTCGTCACACAATGTTGACCGAATTAGGTTCAGTTTGGAAAACGGCTCGGGGTGACTAGACTAAAATAGGGTTTAATGGGTGAAGGCGTTGGTTGTGGGTTGGAGCCATGTTGGGCGATGCAGACTAGCCGGTAAGGGTCCACGGGACAAGAGAAACCAGTGGTTGGAGACTCTCGTGATATGGCTCATAATCGATGTCAGTGGCACAAATGTATCCACACACACACACACATACACACACACACACTCGTTATCCTCATCTTAACCACCATACTTAGTCTCACTATCTTCTCTTTCCTCCTTCCTCTCTTTTACCACATGCTGCTTCCTTTGACCAGTTTTTTTCTTTCATGTTTCATTTTATTGCCTTGTTACTTGATGTGGTGATATGAGGTGTGGCTGGCAAGTTGGAACGTTATGCAGTAAGTCGGATCCTATATTGATATTGATAATGATGATTATTTCCTTTCTGAGTGGCCAAATAAATTTTAGGATACGAAAGAGGGAGAGATGAAGACCAGCTCAGTTGTGTCATTGTATGATCTGCCTTTACATTTATTAACATCATGGTTAAGCCACTAAACTTACCTCTTTTTCACTGGTCGATGAACTTGAGTTGTAAATGATCGTAATCAAGGATGACTTCTAGGACATAGTTACACTGAGCTGCTGTCGGAGGTACTGTTAATTGTTGATATCTGTTAGGGATATCTAGTGCGTTTACGGTTGCTCGGCCTTGTTGTAGACGTTTCGATTGATGCAACACTGATTATTTGTGGCCTTTTAATCGTTAGTTTTGTCATTGAGGAACTCTGCTTATTAGACAGATAGACAAAATCAACGTAGAACCTTCTACAGAAGTTCAGACGAACGGTGGCCATCACTTGACTAAATATATGGTGTTGTTAGGGGGAGATGCAACATTCGATCAATGTGGAAGGAAATCCTAGAGTGTGTAGTATTCGTTTCAAATCTCATAGACTTAAAGTAGTACTCAGTGACTCCTTTATTTAGATACACTATAAGAATACGTAACGTGTTGATCACTTCACTTATATTCAGAGTTAGATAAATGTCAGTTAACTGGGTATTAACAGGATCTCGATACACATATGGGCTCATCTGACCTTCGCCAACTTTAGTCACCTAGACAACCCATAGGATATCCTACTGTCTGTCTACCAGAAGATGAGCGCTTTGCACTACACCCTTAATCTTCTATCAAATGTGCAGGACTCGGTGAAGGTGGATGACGTGAGGAGGCTATACGTTTCTGGATGTTTTTGTGAGACCCCCTTGTGTGCTGTGGGACTGAAGTGTGTGAGACGCTAGAAGTCAGTAGTTGATCACCTCAGAATATTTCATGAAAGATGGATGGTGGTGGTGCACATGTACTCATTTCTTATCTTTCTTCAAATTCTCAACATCTTAATGTTATTCGTTTATCTGCATCGTTCTACTCATGTCTTTCTACTTGTTTATTCCGACGTCTATTTTTATTTCTCTCGACAAGTGTGACTTCTTCGACGAATGAATTCAAGAGGATGACCTAATAATGCAACAGCTCTACACTTTTGTACAGGTTTTGGATTAGGCTGAGATGAACTTGCTTTGTAGGAGCTTATTACGCTACGCAGTCTAGCTACCCTCAGCTTCTACCTGAGATAATTTAGTTCTACGGAGGAGACCGTTGCTGAAGATACGTAACATGTTCTAACCGCTTCAGTTGGTTAAGTTTCGCATTCCAATCGTCTGATTTACTTCATTTCACTAAAGCTTCACACCTGACGTCCGCATAGCAGCTCTATCTCAGATGATTGATGCTATGAAGACAATAACGGACAAGTAATTGATGCCACACTTCACAGTACTATACTATGAACAAGTGGATAAAAAAAGACCGATATCAAAGTAGATAAAGTTGTGTGACAGAATGAAAAATTTGAAAATAACGGTTAGTGGAAACATTTAGGCTTTGGAAGACGTGAAGAAATGAATACATTGGCATCACTGTGACTGATTTCCAGCCATATTACCAAGACTTCTTAACCCGTGATTCCTATTGTCTCTGAGACTTCATTCAGGCAGTCTGCATCTCCGCACACGACTCAGACAAACAGTCGGGAACTTCATGGACTGGTTTCATTTCTTTGTCTGACTACTCTAAACCATCTTCCAACCTAATCCAACTTCCACTAGCACGGCACATCGAGATAGGCAGTGACTGGGCATGCGCAGTACATTTCCAAGCCACCTCAGTCGATGAAGGTTTACAACCTCATCAATCGACTTACCTGTTTTACCAAGTACTCTTCACCTAATCTCAACATTGCTCACACGGTAAATCCACCAAACATGAGCAATGCTACAAAGGTGCATTTGTGATCAAAACCATGTGATCGCTTCATGTCTCACAACAGTATACCAGGACAGAACGCACTTCAGTGTAGTTTACTCTTCCTTGAACAGATAGTCGGATATCTCGCCAGTGGGCGCCAGAGATGATGGAAATTGGGAAATGCCAAACAGTCCTTCTGTATCCGAGCTGAGATTTCGTCAACAACCACCCCTTTTTGGGTGGGTTGATGTGACTTCCTAAGTTAATGAAGTAATGAAGTGGTCGACACGTCCCACCACTTCCTGTCATTAAACTGGTAGGTAGTTGCCGATCAGTCCTGAAACATCATTTTACATTCCACAGGTGGGAAACGTATACTAGGCAAACATACTTGTACGTCTGCTCAACGCGTTCAAAAATCCCTTGCATTTCGTCAGCGTTTTCACCCAGCAGGACAGTATCGTCTGGATACTACAAGTCAACTAGATAACTTCTGGGGAGTAGATCATAGCCTGTGAATTCAGATGTACGTAAGGCCATATCCATTAGATAACATCTATAACGAAGTTAAATAGGAGCTGTCATCCGACGTCCTCCACCCTTAGTAGTTGTTTTTCAATCGTGTATTGGAACAAAAAGTGATGTAAAGTAGCGACTCATGATCATCATAATTCTGATCAATGGATATACTGTATTTTGGTTCCTACTCATTTTATCCCTTTTCTTTCTTGTTTTGCTCTAGTGTAATACCAATAGGGACAGGAACTAAAATTGATTATCTGTGTTTCCTGCATAAGAGTGATGATTCATTGACGACAAACCTATGCTTATCATCGAAGACTAAGGTAATGATTGTTATCTTTTCATAATTGATAGGGTATACGTCTTTCTACTTCTCTTTAGTTTGTTTCCTTATTTGCCAAACATTAACACTACAAATGGAAGATGTGCAAAGTTCAGTGATTAGTTTGTACATTTGCCTTTATGTCATGAAATCACTATGAAAGTAGAAATTGATTTAAGCATTCAATTTTCAGTTAGTGGTTTTGAAGGATTTGAGCTCATTGTCACTTACGAAAGTTATACATAATAACAGAATTGATTGTTTGATATTATATGATATGAGTGTAAAAAGAAGAAGCATCATTAAATTCCCACAAACTCCTAAATTGAATTGATCTAGTGCTCATTGGTGACTAGCTTCGAGAGGTGGGTGATTCCTGAATGTTCAGTGACAAGTCTTGACCGGTAGGATAAACCTGGTGACTGTGAGGACAAATATTCAACCATAACATTGGGTGATAGTGACAGAAGTCGGAAATATGGACTATTGGATTCTGACCGAGTGGCTCAATGGTAACGTGCTGACCACGGGACCTGAAGGTCGATCGCTGGTAGGTTGGAGCGAGACGATGGGTGCGCACTCCTGAGGAGTCCCATATTATGACGAAACAGGTGTCCAGTGCTCTCAGGTTTCGAATGTTCCTCTAACTGATGTCAATCAGCCTGTGATGAATTCCAACCTAAACTCGATTTATAAACTTCCAGATTGTGTTACTGTTATTATTATTATGATTATCATTTTGAATATCTGCGGTAGCGTGAGATTAATATTGATGCTGGGTGATGGTTGAAAGTGAAACGAAAATTTGGACCGCGGCGGGATTCGAACCGGGTTTCCGGCCGGGTGGTCGTTGGTTCGAATTCGGCCGCCATCTAGTATTATTATTATTGAGGCGAGATAGTACGTTCAGATTAATCCTACTGCCACTAATATCACACGAGGTATGACTCAAAGAGAAGACAACCTTAGACCGTCAGCCGATTTAGTGATAATTAAATTGTATTTGGCAAAGTATATGAAAAATGTACAAGATCTCCTGTTCATGTGTCGGCTGCCTAATCAATATGTCATCAGTGTATGAGAACAAAGATGCATACGTGAAGGACACTCATAATTAATTGGTTATTGCTCTCGTTCCTTTTGTGCATGAAAGCAAAAACAATGTTGACTGGATTTTGGTAGAAAAATCCTTGTTAGCGGTTTTCTTAGAATTAGTAGTTTCAGTGGGTCATTTCTGAGGACGTCTTTAAAGATCATTCTAGCGACGATTGAAACGACTAAATTAGGTGTCTTCATATAGAAATTTAATTGGTTATTTCAGTTGTTACTAGGATGATCCACTTCTGATGCCTTTTATCCGTTGATTTATGCGGTACCAGTATTATCAGACTTTGATTTTTGCCATCAACTGCTGAATGTTTTAACTAGTTTTAGTATGATTTTGGGACAAGCTTGTCAACATTTTAGGCCGGCCAAATAGGGTAATGTTAGGCCACTCACTAAAGAAAACGTCGGATCAAATATAGAGCTGGATGTAAAGTTTTACAACATATTACCTACGTCTGGTGCAATGTATTTTCGGCTCACATTTGACCCTAATGTTTGGCCCCATGTGTGCTACTTCTGGACCATATCTGACGCATGTTCCAACGTTGTTCTATTTGGCCCGACACAATTCACTACAATTCATGTTTCCTCAAGTTTTATTTCTTTCTCATATCGGTTCAAATTGAGGTGAACTAAATCAGAAATTACTACTTGTTGAGTTTTACTTTGACTACTGAAGAAAGGCATGATGTTTAAAGCGATGGTATGGTGTGTAGAAGTGGTAAGATGGCTAAAAACTGTACGTGGGCGGTTTTGGTTTGTTATGGCATATCCAGCGAAGCAGATAGACAATCACTGACAAGTGCGCCGGTTCGACTTGCCACACTTCACAGTAGTAAACAAATAAAAGGTGGACGGAAAGAAAAACAATTTGAAGATGACGGTTAGTGCAAATACTCAGGTTTTAGAAGTTGTTAAGGAATGAATACATCTGGGCCACTGTGACTGCTTCTCAGTCATGTCACCAAGAGTCCTCAACTACCGATTCCTGTTGTCTCAGTGACCCCAACCAGATACTCTATATCTCTCCACACTGCTCAGGCCAACAGTCAGAGACTTTACCTACTGGTGCCCATGTCTTGTTCTGGCCACACCCTGAACCCTCTCCAACCCAATCCAACTTCCTCTAGAGTTATACATCGGAACAACGAAAGCAAGAAAGTATGAACTAAGTTACTCACTGACCGTTTGCTACGATTGGACTACCACACTGTTTTTCTTTTTAGCATAGACTGCCTTGGTTTCAAAATACTAATTAAGTCTGCCTAATGAAGTTTTTATTCACATTTTTTCAAGTAGTTAAAATTTTCTACAGTTTAGAGAAACCTGTGTTTTGTTGTACATTTCTAGATATTAGCAGATTAGATAATATTTAAACTGGGCAGGATGTGAGTCATGACCTGAATAGCTCAGTGGTAGCGTTGGTGATTACAACATTGGGTGACACAGATTCGAATCAGTTCCCTCGAGGTTGGAGATACGCCTTCCTGTAATGATTGCCAGGGAGCATGGAACTTAAACAGTGCCAAAGGCTTCCTACCGACTGCCTCCAAACAACTAATATTACTTTTTATTTTATTTCACGGCTTGAAACATCATCTAAAAACAGCCTACAATTAAAATGGTATTATTGGAAAAAAACGCCAAATGATGAAACGTAAAACGATGTTAATTATGACACTGTGTGCATCGCTAATGAAATATGGTAACCTTTCCACTGAAATATCAATTTGCACAATGTGTTTCATTTCCTCTTCTTCTAACTCGTCTTGCTCTTCATACGTTCACGTCATCCTCTGCGCTTCTCTAGCCAGAACAATTACCTATCCTTTGTAATTGCCTATGAATTCTTCCGACCTCTCAACATATACTACTTATATACATTCTTATCAGTAGTGCCAACTAAATTAGTAGTAATAATGGCATGGAATACTTTAAATATGTAGAAATGAATGAAGATTCTAAATTTGAAGATTGAAAATAAAGCGATAGTGAGTGAGTCGAGGAAATACATGATTAATAATAATAAATCTTAGTCCAAATCAATGGCAATGGTTCGATCCCTGGTGGGGTCATGTGTACGCACTGCTGAAGAGTCCCATACTAGGACGAAACAGCTAGCTGTCCAGTGCTCGCAGGTTTCCAGTGTTCCTCCAACTGATATCAGTCAGTCCATGATAAACGCCGACTTGAAAAATCACTAAATCCTCACAAACCGCCAAATTGAATTTATACATCTGGTGAGATGAACAATTCTGGGGTTGGTGAAAAGGAGCGCGGATAACAAACAGACAGGAATTTAAAAGTTTGTTTCCTGAGCATAGCGTTCTTATTCTAGTGTGTAGTGTCCTGACTAAACCACATATACAACTGGCAGGACAGACACTATTGTATTCAAGGTACTGACCAATCCACGTGTCTTTCTTGTGGATTATCTTCTCACCTTTGGCATGAAATCTTCATCTTGCCTCGTGTCCATTTGATTGGTCTTTTTGTCATCTTTATTTTTCTAATTTTGTCTCGTGAAATCATCCAATCAAAATAAAACTAGACATCAGCTTATAAAGTCTCTGACTGTTTATCTGATATATGTAGGTAGGTGTAAACTTGTTGCACAGTATATCTACATGTTGACGTAAACCAATGGTTTAGGACTGTTGGTGATTTGACTGACAATCAATCTCATTGACGTAGATTTTTCTATGCATCGTCATATTCATCCCTCTGTTCTTACATCTCTCTACGACTTGTGAAGTATCTTTGTGTCACTGGATGAGATAACTTGGATCCTTATAAGTTATTGTCAAGTGTCATGTTGATATTGACCGGTTTACTTATATAGCATTGAGAACGAACGAAATGTACTCAGCCACTTTGTACACATTCCTACAGTAAGTGGGAATGAGTCACGCGTATTGTGTGTGGCCTAGTGTTACTACAATGTAACTGACCAAACCACCTCGGTAAGGGAGAACGGGGCTGGAACACATGACCCAACAGTTGATAGTCATCTCACTAAACCACTGAAGCATAGCTCCACCTTTAGCATTGCAGGATACTAATCCCTTTATTCTGGACAATGTGTATGACAGTATGGAATTCTCAGCATGTAATTTTTGTTTAGCAAATTCACTCTCAGAACAATACTTTCAGACGAAGCGGTTATTGCATCTGAATGATGTTAATAATAACAGTATTCAAGGCAATAATGTGAAATAGCCAGCTGGTTCTGGATGGGCATTGGTCCATAATGAAGAATCAACAGAAATGTGGCGCTTCATTCAGACGATATGAATATCTGAAACTGAAGCTAAGCGAGCATTTGATGGATAGAAATCTGATGTCCTTTTTTGCACCGAAAAGTCCATTTCCATATAACATAACATTGTTCACTCGAGAAACGTAGAATTGAAAACAGTTTAAAAAAATGTGCAAGAGTATATGATACGTTCAAAGGGACATTTAAATGATTAAAACAAATTGAAAGGATAGAATTTAATGAAAAATGTCCAATGGATAAATTTTTTTTGTCTAAGGTCCAAGCAGGCTGCCAATGGATGCATGTGTAGATGGCTCTATGCTGAATGAATGATTAGTCTCCTAAAGTGTATGTTGTATATTCTCAATATTCAATTGACAAATCGTACTCTGTTGTGCTACAGAATGTATCAACTTTGACTGATCCACTTGATCCAAGGTTTATAATGTTGGTTCTTTGTCATCTTTACAAAGAATTCCTGAGAAATTACTATTCAACCATCGAGGATGTTTAGCTTCGATGATGATGATGGTGGTATCTCTCACCTTTGTATAAAGATGTTTCATACACAGATTGGAAAAATATACACTGAAATCTAAGTTCGGATGACTCATCATTTCGTCCTAGTTTCCGACTCTTTATATGTACGCATTCAAGACTTTTAGGTTGGCATAGATAGGACCAAGTAACTAATGTTTTTCAACTCTTGTCAATTTGTTACCAAGTAATATTTTTGTTAATAAGACTGATAAAGTTCTGATTAGTACTTTACAGCAATTATGTCTAAAGGTCACTGATTCAAGTTCCCGCGATATTCAAGATTTCTTGACTTATTTACCTATCTGGATGATCGATTGTCAACTTTTAGTTGTATATATCATAGACTGACACTAGCTGGAGGTACATCGAAAACCTGGGAGAACTGGACAGCCATCTGTTTTGTCCAAGTATGGGATTCCTCAGCAATGCGCACCCATGACCCCGCCACGGATCGGACTCACGACCTTCAGGTTCCGTGGCCCAGCTACTGGGTCGGAATCCAATGGTCCGTATTTCCAACTTCTGTCACCATCACCCAATGTTATCGTTGAATATTTGTCCTCACGGTCACCAGGTTTGTCCCACCAGTCATGACTTGTCATTGAACATTCAGGAATCACCCACCTCTCGAAACTAGTCACTATCAATTGAATTTAGGAGTTTGTAGAGGTTTATTGATTTCGGGTTGATATTCATCATGGACCGAATGACATCAGTTGGGGGAATATTAGAAACCTGGGAGAACTGGACAGCTGTTTCGTCCTAGTATGGGACTCCTTGACAGTGCGTGGCACGACCCTGCCAGGAGCCGGTGGCACCAACCAGGTCGAACATGAAAACGGTTAGGGTTAGGGACGGCATTGGAAGGAGGTTACGCTATATTATGAACTAACAGAAGTGGGAAATGTGAATCATTGGATTCTGACCCAGTGGTTTGATAGCAACGTGCTGGTCGAGGAATCTGAAGGTCCTGGATCCAATTTCTGGTCGACTGGGTCATAGGTATGCACTGCTGAGAAGTCCAGTACTAGGACAAAACAGCTGGCTGTCCAGTGCTCACAAGTTTCGAATGTTCCTCCAGCTGATGTCAGTCAGTCCATGATGAATACCAACCTGAGATCAGTGAGTTCCAACACACCTTTAAATCGAAGCATTCGTGCACACCCGTACGCTCATTGGTTGCTCAGAGTTTAGTTAGTTTTACTTTGACAACACAATAACAAGTCAGTGGTATCTTCGTTTTGTTGTTAAACAGCCGGTTACAACTTACAGTGTGGTAGGAAAACCTGTTAGTAATTTTTAAGTTTTTTCCCCGCTATTTTAATATTATATATATATGTTGGCGTGGATCTGTTACTCATGGCTTTAACCAGTTGCCTTTAAACCAGAGAGTCACGGGTTCGAACCCGAAGCTTGAATATCCAGGTGGGTGGTGTCATTGTCGCTTACATAATACGTTTTGACTGATTGCTTACTACATGAGCATACATATAGTTGCAGGGTGAACTTCGGTTTCGACAGATTATCATCAGTCGTTTACTCGAAAATATTGTTTTTTTTTTTATTCTGCTCTTTATTATTATGTCCGATAGCAAAAGTTGATTATTTTGTACTTCAATGTTTATCTTCTCTTTTAGATATCCAGACAAGTAACCATGTATACTTCCTTATAAACATTATCATCAAAGTTATCAATTTTTAATCTGTTTCTTATTGAAAAAGAAATTATGTTCAGTCGTGTTCCTTTAACTGATGACTTTAATCATTTAGCACTTTGTGCTCGAGCAAGTTTATCTCATCAAGCTGAGAAAAAGATTCATTCAATTTTAAACTGTGGTCAACTTTCATTTGGAAGTAATCTATACAATGGTAAAGATGAAATGAAGCATATTCAGCAGATTATTCCTCCTCCAGCCAGTAATAATAATAATAATAATAACAATAATAATAATAATAATAATAATAATAATAGTCCTATTCCATTGAACCAATGTACACCTGTCCATCAATCAACTGGTTGTAATGAACGCGTTAAACGTCATCATTGTACAGATTGTACAAAATCATTTCATCGTGCTAGTGATCTAGTGAAACATCGTCGTACACATACAGGTGAGAAACCATTCGCTTGTATTCAATGTGGTCGTGCATTTGCTGATTCCAGTAGTTTATCTGCTCATAAACGTATACATACTGGTGAACGCCCATATCATTGTTGTCAATGTGGTAAAAGTTTCTCTGTATCTAGTAGTCTAGTAAAACATCGACGAATACATACAGGAGAACGTCCATATCGTTGTGAATATTGTGGACGATCATTTTCAGATAATAGTAGTTATAGTGCGCATAAGAAACGAAGTCAACGGTGTACACCAATTGGTGGTAGTAATAATAATAATAATAACAACAATAATGATAGTATTAATAATAGTCTTCTTGGTGGAGATTGTGAACGAAAGACAAAATGTGAAGGTTGTGCATTTCTTGATGTACGTACACAAGCAGTTATTCATCCAGCAGGAGCTGCGGTAGCTGCAGCTGCTGCTGGTGTATCTGTTGAACACTTTTTAAATAATAAATCATCAAATATGCTTATATCAAAAATAGATGTTAATGGATTTTGTCCAACATCAATGAATTTATCCTTTCCTAATTCATCGAATACAAATAATAATAATAATAATATTATCACAGCGACTGCTTTAACATGAATACTTGTCTGCTTCATATATACACTGTCTTACACTTGCGCCCTTACAAAAGGTGAACATTATCATGTTTTATAACATTGTATGTATATAGATATATAAATTATATGTGTATCTTTGTGTTTTGGAAGCTTTTTATTCTTCTCGCTTTTAGTCTCTCTCTCTCTCTCTACACAGTATATTGAACATGTTGAATTTACCGCGACAATCGCTTCAAATTTTAGTCGATACCCTAAGTTTTATCATCATTATCATTATCATCATTATTGTTAGTTGTTGATTTTCATTTCTTTCTGTAGTGTTACTTTTGTAAGTAATCAAGTTAACTCAACAAACTCTAATCAATAACAATTAACATACTTTGATAATTTTGTTAAGGAGTAATGATCCTCATCTATATGCTTCATCGTTATTCGTCTTCTTGTATCTCACTACTCGGACAATTTTTTTAAAAATCTTGGTGGTGGTGGTGGTGGTGGTGGTGGCGTTCAATTGATGATGAGGTGGGATGAGCGAGGTCTTTGTGTGTGTGTGTGTGTGTATGTATGTAGGTCATCCGGCGATAATGAAAGATGTTTGCATATTGTTCCCTTTGTTGTTACAATTTCTCGCCTGTTGTCTTCATCGTTTTCCTGTCGGATACGCTTTTTGAACCATTGTGTATTATATTTTCGTTATTGTTTCATTTTATTCATCATCATCAAGTTTATTTTGCTTGACATGTTCATTTGTTCCAGTTTCCCGATACCAATTTAGTGTTCTTAAAGTGTACACAGGGTTCAACTGTTTCACTTGGTTTTTATCCCTTGGTGTTACCGAATACTCGCTTACTGTCACATACATATATGGAGCATGTTATGGCATTTCGAATATAATTTATTATCAATTATCATTTTATCTGGTGTAATAGTATTGTTACTTTCTTCAAGGTGGTATTCGTGATGGATTGATGTGACTTGGAGAACTGTTGAGCTTCTGGAGGCACTGGGCAGCTGTTTTGTCCTAACCAATTCCCCCCCCCCCCCCGGGTCAATAAACCTGAAACTATATTGATTGGTCCCTGGGAGGTGATGCACTTCATGTGTTGATCAAATTCTACCGATCATTTTGTGCAATAATGGCCACCAGGCTTGACGACTCAGCATTGCTATGCATGGATGTTAGTTGGATGGAGACAATTGGTAGGAAGGCGCATCTGCAATCTTTATTTTTAGGACTAGACGAAATAGAATTGGTCACCCTCCAGTAACCAATCAGTTTACCTAATCCAGTCCTACTGACAACGTCGCTGACCGTAGAACTGAGTGACATTAGTTCGAATCTCAGGTGGGGACATCAGTTCCGTTGGGGTTGTAGATATGCCTTGCTGTGACGTGTGGTGCCAACATGTATGAAACCTCTGTCGAACAGGACTTCCTGCCAATCGCCTCCATCCAATTATGTCTTTCGACCAAAGTTCGTTATATTATTCCAGACTGCGAGAATCCATCACGTAATCATAATTAGTTGCATGTATTCTTAACAGTAAGCTAAATCGGAACCGGAAACTTTGCTGCTTGACTTTATTCCTAGTTCCTTCAGTCAGAAGGAGAAGTGTTATGAAGCCTAGTCCCTAGTATAACTCTGTATAGCATTTCGGTTTGCTACAGCCTAAAGAAGTAAGCAAGGTAGAAGGTAACACCAAGGAAAAAGATTACTAAATGAAAATAATCTCATCAGGAAACTCGTTAGATGAAAGGAAGATGAGGCGAAGTGTTAAGATGAAGATGAACTATGACTTCTTGATCTAGACACTCAACTATCAACTAATGTGTTGCACGATTTCCAACTTGGGTCCACCTACCGAGGTCTGACTAGTCAGGTAGAATCATTCACCTTCACATAAGTTCGCTTTTCTTTTGTACCACAAAGAATGTTCGAATTAGTTTTCTTGATGCTCAACTTCTCCTTTGTTGCTTGACCACTATCGGTATATAGGCTGCTGTGCGAATGCCTCGATATTGTCCGTATTTTCATTTTGAAGGCGATGATGGATAGTCACTGACAGTGGAGTCGAGGACGTGCGTTTCTTCGCATTTGTGACTTATCAGCCAAATATATACACCTGCCTCCCACCATAACTCGGACCCAGGACTAATTAAGGTTGGATAAAAAGTCTTGTGATGACATAACTTACACTTTTGCTACCTGATGGAAATTACGAAAGTGAGTGCAGAAACTTTCGTTGTTGTTGCTTGATCTAGTGTATAACGCTCTGGCGTTTAGAACGATATGTCCCGAGTCCGAGTCCCGTTGGGAACAACACCCCCCACTGGGAGGCAGGCATATGCAGCTGGCGAGTCTTAAATAGGGCAAAACCCGCTTCAAGCTGAATCCTACTGCTAGCCACTCTCCATCATTGACATATAATTAGAGTCCAGGCATCATCTCAGGAGCCCGTAATTCAGTAGAGGCCGATAAATTTGGTTCACTCAACGGCGGGACTATACAAACAACAACATTAAAACTATAGCCGTCGCACAAGAATTGCTTCGTGACTCGGTGGTTTAGTGAACAGCGCTTTTACGTTTTGAAGCCACTGGTCCCGAGCCCCAGTGTAAACAACATTACTCACTGGGAGGCAGGTACATCCAGCTGACGAGCCTGGAGTAGGACGAAACGCACGTCAATCTGTATTCCACTGTTAGCCGCTATCCATCATTAGTGGATATAAACGTTTAGCCTCACATTTGTTGGTAGAAATTTATTAACTGACTGCTAATCTGCATATTACTCGCGACCGACTATTCATAATTTGAAGGTCAGGTGATAATTTAGTTGTTGTGAGCTGTTTTGTCGAAGTTTAGGACTTTTCAGCAGTGCACATTTGCAACACATGTTGAATCAAGTCCAGTGGCTCATATTTTCTATAACCTCTGTCAATTCCTGTTAAAGTGCTACCACTGTCGGCGAGTATTTGTGATTACGGTGCACTTGGTTAGCCTCATACATGATGACTGCTTACCAGAACTCTGGGAAGTCCATCTATAAACACATTCACGTTGCTTTCACACAACCAGCTCATCTGCACAAGTTGAACTGATTGATTTGGGCTTATAACAAGCAGTTAGGGCAGTACGATACCTACAAATGTTCTATCGGTAGTTTAAGCCTACATCAAGAGAATTTACAAAGTCTTACTTTGTACAAACTTCTGAACAACTCGACATTGTAGTATTTTGCTTAAGAATTATTACTGATATCCATTTTTAATGGTTAAGCACATGAAGCAAGCCGTCCAGAAATACCAGCATTAGCCACAGAACTATCAGTGAACACAAACCCTCCAACAACAGCAGAATTCCTGAACGCCATCAAGTTACTGAAAGCCGGGAAAGTAGCAGGACCAGATGGAATTCTTCCGGAAGCACTGAAAACAAGCGTAGAGACACTAGCGAAAATGCTCACACCACTTCTATTGCACAAGGTTTGGAAGGGAAGAAGGAGGGTACCTGCCGATTGGAAGAAGGGCTATCTTAAACTCACAAAGAAGCGAAACCTAAGTGTTTGCAACAACTAGCGTGGAATCATGTTCCTATCCACCACAAGCAAAATATTAGGCCGCATCATCCTGGAGAGACTAAAGGATGCTCTGGATTCAAAATTATGATCTGAACAGGCTGAGTGGCTGGCTGGCTTCAGGAAGAACAAATCATTGCAACGCTACGCATCATTTGAAGTCCCTGTAAGACAAGGCTGTCTACTATCACTAATGATCTTCCTGATTGTGGTTGACTGGACTGGATCATGCAGGAAACTGTGAGGAGCAAAAAGAGGGGCATACGTTGTCTGACCGATGAAAAGATCCTAAAAGATTTGGATTCCACCTATGGTGATTTACGTCCAAGGTCGCACAAGCTCGAAGATGTACAGGCGGAAACTAGGAAGTTGGCATAAGAGGCAGGGCAGCGAAGGAAGACGGGACTTCCTTCAGGTGAACGTAGAGAAGACAGAGGTGATGGAGATACCCAACCAACAACACCAATCACCATGAACGGAAGAAATCTGAAGGAAGTTGTCTCCTCCACCTACCTAGTAGACAGCATTGTTTCAGTTAAAAGTGGTGGTGGCGGCACAGATGAGGATGTCAAAGGCAGGATCGGAAAGACAGCAAGACAGGCCTTCCTTCATTGATCTGAAACCAGTGTGGAGATCTTCTGCACTCAGTATAAAGAACAATATATGGATTTTCAACACTAATTCAGTCAAGTAAGTCGGTGCTTGTATGTGATTGTTGAGAGACTTGGCGCGTTACGAAAAGCATTTCCAACAAACTGCAGATATACATTAACATCTGCCGCCTACGCTCGATACTGAAGATAAGATCAGATACCCAGAAAGAATCAGCGGCAAGAAACTCTGGCCTGGCAAGGAACAAACGAAGAACCTATCGCCCAACAACTATGCAGAAAGTGGAGGTGGATTGGGCGTACACTGAGAAAATCATTCGAGCACATCACGCACCAGACCAACCTGTCGAGTGGAACTTAAATGGGTAATGACGAGTTGGGCGTTCTAGAGTGACATGAAGGAGATGGTGTGAAAAAGGAATGAAAGCAGTCATGGAGATAGGTTAAAAAAACTGCGGAGAAGAGAGTGAAATGGCGACATGCTACTGAAGCCATATGTTCTACTAGGAACTCAATGTACAAACAAACAATAATAATATGTAGCTAAATTCCAAATTCTTAGAGCGACTCTAAAAACCATCCAAGCAACTACTGTGACAACCAATCAGGATCCTGTACTTCGTAAAAATCTGGCACCTAATAAATACCAAAATATGATTGGTTATTTCAGTAGTTAGGATGACCTTCAAAGTCACTTCTAAAACTATCGAATCGAGTTATTTTAAAGTTCACCCTAGAAACTGATGGGATAATTAGTTCCATTTTTAATTTTTTTGGATAGCTGTCTTTCTGGCCAAAATACTAAAACCTAGTCGGTTGTTCCAGTGTTTGCTAGGGTGGCCTTCAAAGCTACTTAACTTATTTCTTTTTATGGGACTAGTTAACCAATCAGTAAAGATTGAAATTTCAATGCCACAATTCTTGATAATGTACATCCATAACTCCCCGCCAGGAGTCGAGCTCACCGTCGTCAGGTTTCGGGTTGAACATGTTACCACGCAAGTTATGAGCTTGAGTTCAGTAGTCCACTAACTGCACCTCTTATCAATTCGTAATATGGTGAAACTATTGTTTAATGCCTTTGGTGAATATTTCTCGTCATACCTGACTCGATTGACCCAACAGGTCTGTGTTTCTCTTTGGAACTTGCTTTTATTATCCCGTCGTTGATTGACCGAACTGATCCGTCTTTATTGGCATTTGAGCGACTGAAAAACTAACAAGGACATTCGTTATAGATGTACAGTAAAAGTATAAGACACTGGAGGGGAGTCATGGGGTATTGTACTCTGTATTAGAAAAGAAAGGTAACGTTTCACTTCGTATTCAGGAACCTGTTAGTTCAGTGATTCACTACACTAACTGTGAGGTAGCTAACCTGTTAGCTGAAGAATTTCAAAATAATTTCTGTCAAGTGGAAGAAACAATCACAATTCAGGTGGTTACTCATGATGCACAGAGGCTGTGTTATTGAATTTGAGCCTCTAAATATCAGAGAAATCTTAAGCAGTTTAAATCCTAATAAATTCTCAGGAATTGACGGCATCTACCCTAGAGGACTCCAATAGTGTTCCGTTTTTATAACTGTTTCACTAGCAAACCTTTTCAGACAGTCTAGAAGGTAGATCGCCTTCTGAGTGAGAATGAGGAACTGTCGTCCCAGTATTTAAAGATGGCAAGAAACCACTTGCCTTCATCTATAGACCAACCTGTTTAATCTCTT